CATGATGAAAGTGGTGGCACTGCTGGTCCTGCCACAGCTTTGATGTCTTCCAGATGACAAGATGCTGACCCCAGATGACAAGATATTGGCCCTGGCAGCACTGTTGGTATTTCCAACATGATGAAAGTGGTGGCCCTGCTGGCCCAGCCACAGCTTTGATGTCTTCCAGATGACAAGATGCTGACCCCAGATGACAAGATATTGGCCCTGGCAACATTGTTGGTACTTCCAGCATGATGACAGTGCTGGTTCTGCCACAATTATGATGTCTAAAATACCAAATACAGACATTACAAATGGAAGACAGAAATTGCACAAAGAGATGACACGATGCTGGCCCTGGCAGCACCCTGCCACAAGTTTGATGCCCTCAAATGATACATTGCTGGCTCTGGCTCCCTGCCAGATGTTTGATGTCTTGCAGATGACAAGATGCTGGCCCTGAAAGCACTGTTGATACTTTCCACAAGATGTAAGTGGTGGCCTTGCCACAGTTTCATGTCTGCCAGATGACAAGATGCTGGCCCTGGCAACACTGTTGATACTTGCAAACAGATCAAAGTGCTGTCCTGACCGCAATTTTGGTGTCTTCCAGATGACAAGATATTGGCCCTGGCAACACTGTTGGTACTTCCAACATGATGAAAGTGGTGGCCCTGCTGGTCCTGCCACAGCTTTGATGTCTTCCAGATGACAAGATGCTGACCCCAGGTGACAAGATATTGGCACTGGCAACACTGTTGGTACTTCCAACATGATGAAAGTGGTGGCCCTGCTGGTCCTGCCACAGCTTTGATGTCTTCCAGATGACAAGATGCTGACCCCAGATGACAAGATATTGGCTGTCTTCCAGATGACAAGATGCTGACCCCAGATGACAAAATATTGGCCCTGGCAACACTGTTGGTACTTCCAACATGATGAAAGTGGTGGCCCTGCTGGTCCTGCCACAGCTTTGATGTCTTCCAGATGACCAGATGCTGAACCCAGATGACAAGATATTGGCCCTGGCAACACTGTTGGTACTTCCAACATGATGAAAGTGGTGGCCCTGCTGGTCCTGCCACAGCTTTGATGTCTTCCAGATGACAAGATGCTGGCCCTGGCAACACTGTTGATACTTTCAAACAGATCAAAGTGCTGTCCTGACCACAATTTTGGTGTCTTCCAGATGACAAGATATTGGCCTTGGCAACACTGTTGGTACTTCCAACATGATGAAAGTGGTGGCCCTGCTGGTCCTGCCACAGACATCCAGATGACAAGATGCTGACCCGAGATGACAAGATATTGGCCCTGGCAACACTGTTGGTACTTGCAACACGATGAAAGTGGTGGCCTTGCTGGTCCTGCCACAGCTTTAATGTCTTCCAGATGACAAGATGCTGACCCCAGATGACAAGATATTGGCCCTGGCAACACTGTTGGTACTTCCAACATGATGAAAGTGGTGGCCCTGCTGGTCCTGCCACAGCTTTGATGTCTTCCAGATGACAAGATGCTGACCCCAGATGACAAGATATTGGCCCTGGCAACACTGTTGGTACTTCCAACATGATGAAAGTGGTGGCCCTGCTGGTCCTGCCACAGCTTTGATGTCTTTCAAATGACAAGATGCTGGCCCTGGAAGCACTGTTGGTGCTTCTGCTGTCCTTGGCAACACTGTTGATACTTTCAACCAGATAAAAGTGCTGTCCTTGCCACAATTTTGGTGTCTCCCAGATGACAAGATGCTGGCCCTGGCAACAGTGACCCCAGATGGCAAGATATTGGCTTTGGCAACAGTGTTGGTACTTCCAACATGATGAATGTGGTGGCCCTGCTGGTCCTGCCACAGCTTCGATGTCTTCCAGATGACAAGATGTTGACCCCAGATGACAAGATGTTGGTCCTGGCAACACTGTTGGTACTTCCAACATGATGAAAGTGGTGGCCCTGCTGGTCCTGCCACAGCTTTGATGTCTTCCAGATGACAAGATGCTGACCCCAGATGACAAGATATTGGCCCTGGCAACACTGTTGGTACTTCCAGCATGATGACAATGCTGGTTCTGCCACAATTATGATGTCTAAAATTCCAAATACAGACATTACAAATAGAAGACAGAAATTTCACAAAAAGATGACAAGATGCTCGCCCTGGCAGCACCCTGCCACAAGTTTGATGCCCTCAAATGATACATTGCTGGCTCTGGCTCCCTGCCAGATGGTTGATGTCTTGCAGATGACAAGATGCTGGCCCTGAAAGCACTGTTGATACTTTCCACAAAATGTAAGTGGTGGCCTTGCCACAAGTTTCATGTGTGCCAGATGACAAGATGCTGGCCCTGGCAACACTGTTGATACTTTCAAACAGATCAAAGTGCTGTCCTGACCACAATTTTGGTGTCTTCCAGATGACAAGATATTGGCCCTGGCAACACTGTTGGTACTTCCAACATGATGAAAGTGGTGGCCCTGCTGGTCCTGCCACAGCTTTGATGTCTTCCAGATGACAAGATGCTGACCCCAGATGACAAGATATTGGCCCTGGCAACACTGTTGGTACTTCCAACATGATGAAAGTGGTGGCCCTGCTGGTCCTGCCACAGCTTTGATGTCTTCCAGATGACAAGATGCTGACCCCAGATGACAAGATATTGGCCCTGGCAACACTGTTGGTACTTCCAACATGATGAAAGTGGTGGCCCTGCTGGTCCTGCCACAGCTTTGATGTCTTCAGATGACAAGATGCTGGCCCTGGAAGCACTGTTGGTGCTTCTGCTGGCCTTGGCAACACTGTTGATACTTTCAACCAGAAAAAATGCTGTCCTTGCCACAATTTTGCTGTCCCCAGATGACAAGATATTGGCCCTGGCAACACTGTTGGTACTTCCAGCATGATGACAGTGCTGGTTCTGCCACAATTATGATGTCTAAAATACCAAATACAGACATTACAAATGGAAGACAGAAATTGCACAAAGAGATGACAAGATGCTGGCCCTGGCAGCACCCTGCCACAAGTTTGATGCCCTCAAATGATACATTGCTGGCTCTGGCTCCCTGCCAGATGTTTGATGTCTTGCAGATGACAAGATGCTGGCCCTGAAAGCACTGTTGATACTTTCCACAAAATGTAAGTGGTGGCCTTGCCACAGTTTCATGTGTGCCAGATGACAAGATGCTGGCCCTGGCAACACTGTTGATACTTTCAAACAGATCAAAGTGCTGTCCTGACCACATTTTGGTGTCTTCCAGATGACAAGATATTGGCCCTGGCAACACTGTTGTACTTCCAACATGATGAAAGTGGTGGCCCTGCTGGTCCTGCCACAGCTTTGATGTCTTCCAGATGCCCTGCCACAAGTTTGATGCCCTCAAATGATACATTGCTGGCTCTGGCTCCCTGCCAGATGTTTGATGTCTTGCAGATGACAAGATGCTGGCCCTGAAAGCATTGTTGATACTTTCCACAAAATGTAAGTGGTGGCCTTGCCACAGGTTTCATGTGTGCCAGATGACAAGATGCTGGCCCTGGCAACACTGTTGATACTTTCAAACAGATCAAAGTGCTGTCCTGACCACAAAATTTGGTGTCTTCGAGATGACAAGATATTGGCCCTGGCACCACTGTTGGCTACTTCCACACAGAAAATGTGGCCTTACTGGTCCTGCCACGGCTTGATGTCTTCCAGATACGATCTGACCCCAGATGCAAGATCTTGGCCCTGGCAACACTGTTGGTACTTCCAACATGATGAAGTGGTGGCCCTGCTGGTCCTGCCACAGCTTTGATGTCTTCCAGATGACAGAGATGCTGACCCCAGATGACAAGATATTGGCCCTGGCAACACTGTTGGTACTTCCAACATGATGAAAGTGGTGGCCCTGCTGGTCCTGCCACAGCTTTGATGTCTTCCAGATGACAAGATGCTGACCCCAGATGACAAGATATTGGCCCTGGCAACACTGTTGGTACTTCCAGCATGATGACAGTGCTGGTTCTGCCACAATTATGATGTCTAAAATACCAAATACAGACATTACAAATGGAAGACAAAAATTGCACAAAGAGATGACAAGATGCTGGCCCTGGCAGCACCCTGCCACAAGTTTGATGCCCTCAAATGATACATTGCTGGCTCTGGCTCCCTGCCAGATGTTTGATGTCTTGCAGATGACAAGATGCTGGCCCTGAAAGCACTGTTGATACTTTCCACAAGATGTAAGTGGTGGCCTTGCCACAGTTTCATGTGTGCCAGATGACAAGATGCTGGCCCTGGCAACACTGTTGATACTTTCAAACAGATCAAAGTGCTGTCCTGACCACAATTTTGGTGTCTTCCAGATGACAAGATATTGGCCCTGGCAACACTGTTGGTACTTCCAACATGATGAAAGTGGTGGCCCTGCTGGTCCTGCCACAGCTTTGATGTCTTCCAGATGACAAGATGCTGACCCCAGATGACAAGATATTGGCCCTGGCAACACTGTTGGTACTTCCAACATGATGAAAGTGGTGGCCCTGCAGGTCCTGCCACAGCTTTGATGTCTTCCAGATGACAAGATGCTGACCCCAGATGACAAGATATTGGCCCTGGCAACACTGTTGGTACTTCCAACATGAGGAAGTCCCACGGAGCGGAGCGCAGTTATGTTTATCCTGGTCTAGCGAAGCCAAAGGCGAAGCGCACTTGCAGTTTTCGAACATCATTGTTTAAACCAATGTTTTTAACTTTCGAGATCTTTAACAGATTCCGTTATCATGCGATTGATGCTGTTTTTAGCATCGCCTTTTTGATGCTGTATTTTGCATCACGATTTCCTGCATGATGATTCGGTAGATACTTGTGCGATTTTGAATCATGTCACCCGGCGGTGTGTTCAAGGCTGAGATTGCCAAAAAATTTTTCGAAGGGGCTCTCTAGAGGCTTGTAGCTTTGCGTCTAACAGGCCCGAGTCCTCCGTAATCCGGTGTTGCTCTTAGAGCACCGTGCAAGAGCCCTGCTGGGGCTCGGATGGACTTTCGCCAGGCCCTTGAAGCGGGATCTTCGGCTTCTGCTTCCAGTGACACTCAAGAAGCCATTTCCCAACATTTGTACGACCTTTCATTGCAAGTTGCTTCTCTTGAACAGCAGTTGCGTGCTGTCCGTGCAGAGCTCAGCGACATCCAGCGCGAGCTGCGGGGCCTGGAAACTGAAAGGTACCAACATTCCCTCCGCCTGGGGTGGTTGGAAAGGCTTGTGCAGCGATTGCATCAGGTGTTTCGCTCCGAGTCTTAAGCTTCTTTTGCGGGGGATGAGTGCTGAAGCTTTTTATCCGGATGAGGGGGCCGTCTCGCAGTCTGTTGAATCAGGTCAGCAGGTCCCTCTGTCTGCCATACCTGCCAGCCCAATATCTTCGAATTCGGCTGTGGTTGAGGGCACACCTGATCAGAGTCACTTAGCGGCCTTCATGAGCAGCCCCGTCGAGGGCGATGATCTTACTGAGGAGCAACTGGGGGGCCTGATGTCTCGCGAGGACACACAACTTCCCCCTGACGACGACCCGACTGCAGGCCGTTTGGAACGGCAGCTTGCAGGCTTCATTGCCTACGGCGGCAGCGCAGGTGATTGGCATGCCATGAACTCAGGTTTCATTCTTGCAAGGCATTCCCGTCAGGCGATGCCGTGGGAAAGAGTGACGAGGCCCCGCTTGGGGCCCGGCTTCATGTTCCAGGAGCCGTTGCTAGGTCGCTTCGACGGTCTTAGGAGGGCGGCGATCCCCGCCCCTGCAGCAGGGCCGTGGGCATGGGTGCCCAAAGGAACTTATGAGGCCAGGCGACTTCTCGCAGCAAGGTTTGCCAAAAGCGATGACATGCTTAGGCTTGCCGCACTAAAGAAAATTCGGCTCATCGTGCTTTTCTTCCCGGATGACTCGGAGCTTGGAAGGAACCTCGTGGGTTCTGCAGGCTCCCTGGTGGAGGAATCCATGCTGACCTCGACCATCGAGGACACTTTTTCAGGCAGAGCCGCCAGCACCCTTCTGAAGCGTGCCTCAGATTTCTCAAGGTTTGCCAAGTGGATCGTAGCTAGCAAAGGGCGCCCTCTGGCGCCTTCCGAGGGCGAGTTGTACGCTTATATGCTTCACTTGCGACGAGAGAAAGCAGGAGCCACTGCCGGCGAGTCTTTTCTCAAGGCCTATAGGTTCTTCGTGCACTTGACAGGGGCTGCGCAAGGCTCCAGGATTTCCCCTCGTGTGCAGGGAGCAGCCAAGGCGATGTCCATGGGCAAACGGCCGCTCTGGCAAGCACCGCCCCTTCCGGTGGAGGCAGTGCGGCTCTTGGAAGAATTCGTCCACGACTCCGAGGATTATGCCAGGGCTAGCATTGCAGGGTTCATTCTTTTCTGCCTCTACTCCTCGGCTCGATGGTCGGATGCGGCTCGAGGGACTGACTTGAGCATTGACGTGGCAGGTAACGGGCTTGTCCTTCTTGAGTGTTCGACAAAACATTACAAGACGAAGGCCAAGGACCGAAAGGATACCGTGCTGCCTTTGATTGCACTGGGCAGTGGCTTAACTCAGCCCTCATGGGGACGTGTCTGGATGCGCAAGAGGGCCCTGGCAGGGCTACCAGACTGTGCCGTAATCATGCCGGCCATGTCGCCGGGAGGGAACTTTCTAGGAAGGGCCATGACGGCTGCGGAGGGTTCCTTGTGGCTTCGTGAGTTTTTGCACTTGCAGGGTTTCGCGGGAGATCTTGAACAGTACAGCTCGCACAGCCTGAAAGCAACCGCCTTGTCCTGGACGGCCAAGAGCGGGACCATGACCTACGAGGAGCGCCTTACCCAGGGGCATCATTGCAGTCCAAAGCACGGCATGGCTCTCCTGTACTCGAGAGATGCGCTTGCAGAAATCATAGTGAAGGTGGCCAAGGTCGTGAGTGCTGTGAGCAGGGGAGTGCTTAGTCCCGATCTCCCGCGAGCCGAGAGGGTCGCAAGAGCTCTGCGTGGCGATCCAGCAGATTTTGCACATCTTCCTGAGACGACGGCTGAGGATTTGCCGGCCGAAGAGCCTCAAGATGAGAACAACTCCGAGGCTGGGTCTGACATAACAAACCTCGACGGTCTCGAAGTGGACCTGGGGGCACCGGCCCCGGAGGAGGTCAGTCCGCGGCTTAGCTGCACGTTCTCGGGAGAGACCTACATGCACGTCTTGAGTGGAGTGGTGCATAAGTTGGTCAACCCCGGAATTTTTAAGTGCGGCAGGAAGGTCACGGCGAACATGCGTTTGATGGGGCCTGAGGAGGCTCAGGAGAATGTCTGCCAGCAGTGCGCAGCTTGAAGAAAAGAGGATGTGCTCAGTTGATCGTTTGCTGATTTGCGACGTCGTGCCTATGCCATTTGAGATGAGGGTGCTCGGGCCGATTGAGATCAGTGGGGTGTTTCTTGCTTCGGAGCGCAAAACCGGACTGAGAAGTGTCCGCAGTCTTTTGGCTGGGAGTTGCCAAACTGGGGCGAATCTCCCGCGCGGCCTGGTGAGCACCCAGGCTTGAACTTAGCGGGAGTTTGATTGGGGGCTTTGAGATTGCAAGAACCCCCGTGGTCGGCTGCCTTTGCCGGCCTGAGTCATGAAAAATACTATTGGGACGCGACCGGCTGGGATCGCCGGTTCCCGAAGGCCGCCTGTGATCGGTGGCGAAGAAGTGTGAATCCGAGACAAACGCGACCCACGGTTGACTTCGCCGTGGGTGAGACCTCGAAACCTGTATCCTCACCTGCCCAGGTCTCATGGCCGGACTTGAATCGGTGCCCGCCTTCACCGACCGAGCAAAGCAGATCGGCATCAGCGAGGATCTTCTGACCAAGCTCCTTGCTAAGAGCTTGGACACCTTCGGCAAGCTAGCTTTCGTGTGCTCGAGCAAACCTTCCAGCGGGGATGACACTCCTCTCTTCGAAGCCCTGAAGACTCTGATTGGGAGTGAGGTTCCAGTGGAACAACATATGGTGATCAGGCGATTGTGGTACGAGAGCCACGCCCACGCCCTGGTTGACTTGGAATCGAGGGCTTCGAGAACAAGTGATACAAGCCCCCGCGAGCTTCCGTTGGCAGAACGCCTAACACGCTTGAAACGCCAAAGGGGCGAGCTTAAAGGCCTCGAGATGGATATCCACACAGAACCTGGACACGGCCTTGGACCGCGTCCAGGCCATGCTCGACTCTGCACAAGTGCTGCACATCGCGCCGGAAAAGTGCATTTCCCGCCATGACGAAATCCTGGGTGAAAAGACGGAGCAAAAGATCTCTTTGGGAGCCGACGGGAACATCAAGATCACGAAGCAAGCCTCGAGTCTCCGTTGCGAGACTACCGGCGAGCTCAAGCTTCGCCGGTGCTTCCTGCGCCGGGCCTTAGCGTTCGATCAAGTAGGGCTCGCCTCCTTCACTGCAATGGAGTCTTGGCACAACCGCATGTTCCAGGCTCTGCTTGATGTGCCTCCGGCGGGTTATCGCTACACTACCGTTCAGCAGCTGCTCGCAGCTGACCAGAAGCTTTGGCAGGTGGTGGCCCAGGAGAGCCGAGGTGACATCGTCGTCGGGGTCGGAGCCCCGGCTCCTCTTGATAAGCACATAGCCGCTGCTGCAACCAATCAGTTTGTGGTATCCTGCCTGACACACCTTCCTAAGCCTGCCGAGAACCAGGCCCAACCGTGGAAGCCGAATAAGGGACCCGACAAGGGCAATCAGAAGGGAGAGAAGGGTACCAAGGGCAAAGGCCGCGGCAAAGGGAAGCAGAATCACAGCCAAGGCCAGGCTGATGCATCCTCGCAACCGTCCCTGAAGGAGCTGCTGGAGTCGTTACCCGAGGGCTGCGTGCGGGCCAACGATGATGGCCGTTTCATCTGCCCGTTTTACAACAAGGGGATCTGTCGCTTCCAGAAACGCAAGTCGTGCCGCTTCGGAAAGCATGTGTGCAACTTCAAAGGGTGCGGGGCCGAAAGGCCCTACAGTGAGTGCAAGCATTGACTAGCCTCGCCCTCGCCCGAGGTTTTCGCCAGGCAAATCTTAGCTCAGAGCACACCTGTTACCGCTGAGCAAGTGATGAGGCTTTTTGATGCCTTGCCGCATGAGCAGTGCGACCGAGACGCCGAAGGGCGCTCCTTTTCGGCAGGGATGTACTCTCGAGTTAAGGTGAGCCTTCGCAAATCTTGTAGGCTTTTTCCACAGACGGTGCGAGTGGTGAACAGGTTTGTAGCCTCTTTGCTTGAAGGTGCCGTTTACACGAGTTTTGCCATTTTTGATCAGGTGTGCACTCGGCCACACCGAGATTCACAGAACGCCTTTTCTCCGAACTATGTGATCCCCTTGACCATTTTCCAAGGGGGAGCTATCCGGGTAAGCGAGCCGGATCGGACCGTGGATTTGCAAGTATCCCGCGGGCCGGTCAAATTTTGTGCACGAGAGTACGAACATCGCACATTGCCAGCCACTGGGCGCCGGGTTGTCCTAGTGCTTTTTGCCTTGCAGGCCGGAGGGCGCCTCTCAGGCGCCGATCGCCGGGTCCTGCTCGATTTGGGTTTCCCCTTGCCTACCGCTTCGCATCTTGCTTCCACAGAGGCCTGCGCCTCGCAGCAGGTTTCAGTCACGGAACAGATGAGGCAGGTTCTCCCCTTGAAGACGCCCGCATCGACTTCCACACAGCCTGAGCCTAGAGCATCTGTTCCCGTCCCCTCGGAGCTCTCCGAGACCAACTCGCCACCTTGCCAGGCACCCAGTGCCGAGCAGCCCAGTGCCGCCTCAGCTTCGTCCGGGACCTCTGAGGGCTGCAACTCCCTGTCGAAACAGGGCCCCTCTTCGGTCCCCCGTCCGCCTTTGCTTGTTGATTGCCTCGCGGAAGCGGGATCCTTGTCGGCCGCCGCCATGCGGGCTGGATGGGATGCCTTGTCCCTGGGCCACAAAGGCGGTGCCCCAGAGTCCTGCCCTCGAGTACCGCTGGACCTCTCCACTGGCGATGATCTGCAAGCTTTGCTCGATTTCGACCGGAACACTTTGGTTGACTGGTGGCATTTAAATCTGTTCTTGAAATCTTGCAATCAGGGGCGTGACTCCCGAGGTCGTTCCAGCCTTCGCGATGCCTCTCACTTGCTAGGGCGGGATGGCCTCCCCGCTAGTGCCGCCTCCCTGGTGCTGCGTGACAACGGCTTGGTGCAAGCCGTGGTCGACCTGCTCTTCCGAGCCTACGAAACTCGAGCCCTCGTTAGCCTGATCGCTCCGGCTCGGAGTTGGGTGTGGAGCCTCCTCGCCCATCGCTCCGGCTCGGAGTTGGGTGTGGAGCCTCCTCGCCCATTTTGTCAAAAGGAGGCGGCATGCGGGTTTTCTGCAATGGTTCTTCGCCTTAGCTGATCAAGAGCTTGACACTTGCATGTTCGGTGCCCCCTTCCTGACCTCGCTGCGGGTCCGAGCTGAGTCCTTCTCCTTCCCAGGCCTCAGTCGGTCTTGTGATAAGTCCCATAAACATCTACCTTGGGTTCCTCCTTCGACGGCTGGGAATTTTAGTGATGCCTCGCTTCCTGCTGAGTTATGCCAGACACTTTGTCGGTCCGCCACTGCCGCCTGCCAAGGATTGCAGCCCCACAAGGTTGACTTCATGCATAGCCGGCACCTTCGAGCTCAGGTGCGAGCGGCAGCGGCCAATCAGCCCACTTTTATGCCTCCCTTAATCCCTGAGTTTCGGGTTAGGGTCCCTCTGTCCCAAGTGCCGGCTGGAGCTGATTTCAAAATCCTCTCCCAAGGCCGCGGCTCTAATGCGGGGGATTGTGATGAGCCGAATCCTTCTAAAAGGGTCCGGACGCATAAAGACGGTAAAGCCGGGGACCTGGCAGGTGTGTACTTTTCCATGGAGGAGCACCTGCATCGCGCATGTGAGCTACCTAGCCCGGCGGATAATAGCACTCGTTTGCCCGATGCCGTGCGTCGCAACATCTTTGCCATTCTTACGGAAGGCCCTGTGGCCGTGTCCAAGCGGCGGATGCTTGAACTGAAATCCTTGAATGACCGGATGGCGGCGCTTTCTGCGGCTGAGAAGGAGCTGCGAGCCAAGATGCATCCGGACGTGGAGCGAGTCACCAAAGGCAAGGCCCTAGCATTGTTTCGCGAGCTTCTTGAGGAAACGGGCTTTCCTGACTTGGCGGTGGTGAACCTCCTTTCCGAAGGAGTGCCATTGGTCGGTCAAGAAGCCGAGTCCCCTTTGTTTGCCAAACGGCCGAAGCCTAAAGACCTTGAGCCAGATCAGCTCAAAACCCAGGCCGCTCTGCGGAGGCGTGCATTGCAGAAGATGAAAGGGCTTACTTCAGAGCAGGATTACAAGGCGATGAAGGCTGAGACTTCCGAGGAGCTGGCAGCGGGCTTCCTCACGGGTCCATATCACACGGAGCAGGAAGTCAGCGACATCTTGAAGACCGACGCTTGGTCGCTTTCCCCCCGTTTCCTTTTGAGGCAGGGAGAAGACGCCAAGATAAGAATAATCGATGATTTTAAGATGTCCGCGGTCAACAAGGCTTTCGGCTCCTCGTCTTTCCTAGAGCTTCAGGATACGGATTACGCGGTCGGCCTCCTGAGGTTCCTTTCCCGCGTGCTGCAAGATCGCTCCAAGGTCCGGGTCCCCCTGTCTGATGGCACCGTGCTCGAGGGGGACTGGGATCCTGAGATGCTCCGCCAGCCCGCTCTGCTTGGTAAGACACTTGACTTGAGCAAGGCCTACCGCCAGGTGAGCATCCACCCTTCCACGAGGGAGCATGCTGTCCTTGGCTTCCCTAACCCACAGGGCAAGTGGGAGTTTTACATAGCCCAGAGCCTGCCTTTTGGTGCTGCTGCCAGCGTGTATGGGTTCAATAAAGTAGCACTTGCGATCCTTCATATCATGGTTGTCAAGTTCGCTGCGATCGCGACTGACTTTTATGACGACTGCACAGTGTATGAATTTCGCCCAGCTGCTTTCTTGTTGGACAAAGTCCTGATGAGGCTGCTTGACCTGCTTGGGTGGACCTATGCAAAGAGTGGGCGGAAATTTGTTCCCTTTGACAACAAGGTGGTCTCCTTGGGTGTTTCTTTGGGCCTTGACGAGATATGGCAGGGCACTCTCAAGGTTGAGAACAAGGCTGGACGACTTGAGAAAATTGCTGCACTCCTTCGTGCGGTAGCCCAGGGAGGAGCTGTGACGAGAAGTGATGTGGCTTCGCTTCATGGCTTGATTAACTTCGCCGGGGGTCTGATTATGGGCTTCGAGCTTAAGCCAACTTCCCGGATGCTGACACGGGCTTTGTCAGGGCCCTTCCTGGGCAACACGCCTGAGCTTCGGCAAGCTTGTGAGCTTGCTCTGGATGTCATCGCGCAGTGCAGGCCGAAGCGATGCCCGGCCACGATTCTGCCACCTGTAGTGCTCTACACGGATGGGGCCTTCGAGAAAGGGCGAGGCACCTGGGGAGCGATTCTTGTTGATGCTTACACGAGCTCCCGATGGGTTTTCGGGGGAGAAGTTTGCAAACCGCTGATGGATCACTGGGGCAGGGAGGCTGGCGCCCAAGTGATTTGCCAGGTTGAAGCCTACGCTCTGGCGATTACCTCGTTCGGGATCCGCGGCCTCCTCAAAGGTCGCTCGGTCCTAGCTTGGATCGACAACAATGCATGCCTTTATGGATTCGTGAAGCGATACTCGCCTTCGGCTTCGCTGATGCGCTTCATCTCACTGGGGGCCTTGATGGAGAGCTCCATGGAGGCGCTTATGTGGTTTGAGCGGGTTCCCTCAAAGAGTAACCCGGCGGACCTTCCGTCGCGGGGACTGTTCGCCCAGGCCTGTGAGCGGTTTCAAGCCATAAACAAGGGGGACGTGGCAGCCACCGATACGATGTTGGACTTCATTCGTGCTCCCAATTACGAGCCGAAGCTAGCCCAGGCGATTCTTTCGTCGGCTAGGCTGGAAGCCGATTGGGCTGCGGAAGCTATGCAGTGAGTTTCGATGCATCCTCCGATCGCGGGGCCGGGGGAAGATGGTTGCTCTGTTCGGCTGCATTTGCCGTTTATCTGTTCGGCTGCTCTTGCCTTACTTCGAGGGGTTGTGCTCGCCCTCTCTCGCCATCAACCCGGTAGCAGAACCCCCGTTGCAACGGAGAACAAAAAGAAGTCCTGTCCGAGTGAAGCCTTTCCTCTTTTGCAATATGATATAGATTGCTGGACTGATTATTCCTGTGATTGGAGATTGAAAAATTTTTCCATATACTTTTATATATCTTCGATTCCTCTCATATCTGAGGATAACTTAAACTGCAAGGAGACCAGAGAAACGTCCCACGGAGCGGAGCGCAGTTATGTTTATCCTGGTCTAGCGAAGCCAAAGGCGAAGCGCACTTGCAGTTTTCGAACATCATTGTTTAAACCAATGTTTTTAACTTTCGAGATCTTTAACAGATTCCGTTATCATGCGATTGATGCTGTTTTTAGCATCGCCTTTTTGATGCTGTATTTTGCATCACGATTTCCTGCATGATGATTCGGTAGATACTTGTGCGATTTTGAATCATGTCACCCGGCGGTGTGTTCAAGGCTGAGATTGCCAAAAAATTTTTCGACCACCCACCCGCCCGACATAGTTTCAATACGGTTTTTGTGAGACTGGGGGAAGATGGTTGCTCTGTTCGGCTGCATTTGCCGTTTATCTGTTCGGCTGCTCTTGCCTTACTTCGAGGGGTTGTGCTCGCCCTCTCTCGCCATCAACCCGGTAGCAGAACCCCCGTTGCAACGGAGAACAAAAAGAAGTCCTGTCCGAGTGAAGCCTTTCCTCTTTTGCAATATGATATAGATTGCTGGACTGATTATTCCTGTGATTGGAGATTGAAAAATTTTTCCATATACTTTTATATATCTTCGATTCCTCTCATATCTGAGGATAACTTAAACTGCAAGGAGACCAGAGAAACAGTGGTGGCCCTGCTGGTCTTGCCACAGCTTTGATGTCTTCCAGATGACAAGATGCTGACCCCAGATGACAAGACATTGGCCCTGGCAACACTGTTGGTACTGCCAGCATGATGACAATGCTGGTTCTGCCACAATTATGGTGTCTAAAATACCAAATACAGACATTGCAAATGGAAGACATAAATTGCACAAAGAGATGACAAGATGCTGGCCCTGGCAGCACCCTGCCACAAGTTTGATGCCCTCAAATGATACATTGCTGGCTCTGGCTCCCTGCCAGATGTTTGATGTCTTGCAGATGACAAGATGCTGGCCCTGAAAGCACTGTTGATACTTTCCACAAAATGTAAGTGGTGGCCTTGCCACAAGTTTCATGTGTGCCAGATGACAAGATGCTGGCCCTGGCAACACTGTTGATACTTACAAACAAATCAAAGTGCTGTCCTGACCACAATTTTGGTGTCTTCCAGATGACAAGATATTGGCCCTGGCAACACTGTTGGTACTTCCAACATGATGAAAGTGGTGGCCCTGCTGGTCCTGCCACAGCTTTGATGTCTTCCAGATGACAAGATGCTGACCCCAGATGACAAGATATTGGCCCTGGCAACACTGTTGGTACTTCCAACATGATGAAAGTGGTGGCCCTGCTGGTCCTGCCACAGCTTTGATGTCTTCCAGATGACAAGATGCTGACCCCAGATGACAAGATATTGGCCCTGGCAAGACTGTTGGTACTTCCAACATGATGAAAGTGGTGGCCCTGCTGGTCCTGCACAGCTTTGATGTCTTCCAGATGACAAGATGATATTGGCCCTGGCAACACTGTTGGTACTTCCAGCATGATGACAGTGCTGGTTCTGCCACAATTATGATGTCTAAAATACCAAATACAGACATTACAAATGGAAGACAGAAATTGCACAAAGAGATGACAAGATGCTGGCCCTGGCAGCACCCTGCCACAAGTTTGATGCCCTCAAATGATACATTGCTGGCTCTGGCTCCCTGCCAGATGTTTGATGTCTTGCAGATGACAAGATGCTGGCCCTGAAAGCACTGTTGATACTTTCCACAAAATGTAAGTGGTGGCCTTGCCACAAGTTTCATGTGTGCCAGATGACAAGATGCTGGCCCTGGCAACACTGTTGATACTTTCAAACAGATCAAAGTGCTGTCCTGACCACAATTTTGGTGTCTTCCAGATGACAAGATATTGGCCTTGGCAACACTGTTGGTACTTCCAACATGATGAAATTGGTGGCCCTGCTGGTCCTGCCACAGCTTTGATGTCTTCCAGATGACAAGATGCTGACCCCAGATGACAAGATATTGGCCCTGGCAACACTGTTGGTACTTCAAACGATGAAAGTGGTGGCCCTGCTGGTCCTGCCACAGCTTTGATGTCTTCCAGATGACAAGATGCTGACCCCAGATGACAAGATATTGGCCCTGGCAACACTGTTGGTACTTCCAACATGATGAAAGTGGTGGCCCTGCTGGTCCTGCCACAGCTTTGATGTCTTCCAGATGACAAGATGCTGACCCCAGATGACAAGATATTGGCCCTGGCAACACTGTTGGTACTTCCAACATGATGAAAGTGGTGGCCCTGCTGGTCCTGCCACAGCTTTGATGTCTTTCAGATGACAAGATGCTGGCCCTGGAAGCACTGTTGGTGCTTCTGCTGTCCTTGGCAACACTGTTGATACTTTCAACCAGAAAAAAGTGCTGTCCTTGCCACAATTTTGGTGTCTCCCAGATGACAAGATGTTGGCCCTGGCAACAGTGACCCCAGATGACAAGATATTGGCCCTGGCAACACTGTTGGTACTTCCAACATGATGAAAGTGGTGGCCCTGCTTGTTAACTTGCACAATGCCTGGGTTTAGTGATTTCCAAAAAAATAGTGAACGATGAAGTGGTTTTGCCCCTTCAAAGCACCGTTTTGCAACCGTGTCAGACGCCCTTGCCTGATTTAACGTTTTTCTTGCAGATATCATGTTTTGAGGAGAGGTGAAAACACAGTTGAGGGGCCCATTGCATGTTTTCGATGAGGCTTTTATCATGGATAGCAAGCATCATTAGTATCATTTCTTTGTATAGACAGCACAGTGACTTGTCTTTCCGTGCTTATGGCCGCCCGAAAGCAAAACTCGAACCCTTAAGTTCCCAAAGGCCTTGTGCAGTGACTGGCGATTGTTTCGTATGAGTCATTTGTGGTTCAGAGCTCAATAGCAAAACACCCATATCAGGCCCAGATCTCTAAACTTAAGGTGGTTGTATACATCCTAAACCAAAAAGACTTAGAAATAGCTGGTGTCAGGCTGAGGGTGTCGGGTTTATTTTGAATGGGGATTTGGGAGATAGGGTTTGGGGTACGGCATGACCAGTCAACACGGTCAAGGTGGGTTGAGATGCTCAGCTGCTGATTGGGATCGGCAAAGTTGGTTGAGCAATTCGCTTGGGAGTCTGGGAGTTAGGATTTCGGTGGCTGATGTGGAAAATGAGAATATGGTCGGGCAGTTGCGCTGCTTGGTCGAGAGTTGGGATTTCCAGCGTCCGGTTGGCAAAGCAGAAAAAATTCAGGTAGATTTTCCTGTTTGGTTATTTTTTGTTGGTGGTGCATTCAGGAAAATGGATCCGACCAACTGGAAAAATACCCTAGAAAACAAGAATCACAGAAGTGGTCGCGGCCTAGAAATAAGATATCTATAAGTGGTTTGGTGAAAAATAGCCAGCCCAGAAGTGGTTGAGCCCTAAATTTAAGGACGCAACAAGTGGTTTGACAATACAAAACCTAAAACAAAAGCACTTCTGAGCTCCTTATTTTTCCGAGTTGGTCGGGAGTTGGTCGGATCCGACCAACTCCCGACCAACTCCCCCCCCAAAAAAAAGTTGGTCGGGAGTTGGTCGGATCCGACCAACTCCCGACCAACTCCCCCGCCCAAAAAATTGGTCGGGAGTTGGTCGGATCCGACCAACTCCCGACCAACTCCCGTGCAAAAACAAAAAAGTTGGTTGGATCCGACCAACTCGGAAGTTGGTCGGAACCGACTTGATCCGACCAAATCCCGAGTGACTAAGTAGAAAAAAAGCTGCTAACTTAAGACCAGCTATGCGTTGCTTGCCAAAATTATTCAGGTTGGATAATATTTGGTTTCTGACTCATGAGATGTTATTATGGATGGTTTTCCACGTGCAAAACTTGAAAGTACACGTGGCGGCCTAAAGAGAACTGCGCAGAATTGTTCCTTGTGTGCAGAGCCTAAAACACTTTCAAAAGCAACCCCTAAACCCTAAACCCGGTGGTGGCCTACCCCAATGGCAAGTATAAAACTGCACGGTATTGCGTTCGTTGTGTGCATAGCCAAAACTCAAAAAAAACGCGAGAGTGGCCCCTGCGGGAGCCTATCCCGATTTCTGCAATTTTCCTAGTTTTCACCTTAGAAGTGGTTTCGATCCCGGGGCGGAGGTTTGCAACCACTTCTGGTGTCCACCTTTCCATTTCGGTGGGTCGAACCACTTCTGCTTCCCTTAAACCCAGCTATTGCGCAAGTTAACAGCCCTGCTGGTCCTGCCACAGCTTTGATGTCTTTCAGATGACAAGATGCTGACCCCAGATGACAAGATGTTGGCCCTGGCAACACTGTTGGTACTTCCAACGTGATGAAAGTGGTGGCCCTGCTGGTCCTGCCACAGCTTTGATGTTTTCCAGATGACAAGATGCTGACCCCAGATGACAAGATATTGGCCCTGACCCCAGATGACAAGATATCGGCCCTGGCAACACTGTTGGTACTTCCAACATGATGAAAGTGGTGGCCCTGCTGGTCCTGCCACAGCTTTGATGTCTTCCAAATGACAAGATGCTGACCCCAGATCTGTTGGTACTTCCAGCATGATGACAGTGCTGGTTCTGCCACACTTATGATGTCCAAAATACCAAATGCAGACATTACAAATGGAAGGCAGAAATTGCACAAAGAGATGACAAGATGCTGGCCCTGGCAGCACCCTGCCACAAGTTTAATG